GTGTGCATCGTATATATGTGTGATTTGACAAGTGATTCCCACCAACGCGCGCTGAAGTGCGGCTTCGATGATGATCTGATCCTCCGGATCCGCCTGCAACGATCGACGGCAGTGCGGCACCCCCGAGTCGAGCACCCCCGTCCGGCGAGGAAAAACTTTACACAACACCAACAGCAGCAGCAACAGGCGAGCCGGGAGCTGTTTGGCCTTTTTGGATTTTTTCTTTATGATCTCCCCAACAATGGGCTTCATACCGAGCCGGGGTTTTGTCTACGATTACCAACATCCACGTAACACAATGCACCGTGTCGTTGTGAAGTGAGAAATGTTTCCGTGGTAGTATCATCGAGGTCGCCCTGAACCTGGTCCAAATTGCCTTGTTCATGATGCAACCCCCCGTACCCGGAGAACTCTATATGGCCTTCGTTGGTTTAAATAACGCCCATGATGATGACCCAGCTGACCGTTTGTGCCGTCAAATCATGATAGAAGGATTTCGTAGACAAACTCATGATTCAACTCGGGCGCTCTCGCAACGTATTGTCAAAATTCCCCAATTTCCTCTGGTCTCTACGTGTGTCCACTCTGCCATACCTTTGGGGCCTTCCTGAAGGCGTCCAAGAATGAGCGCCTCACAACGGATTTGACCTAAGCTACGTACAGGGCATTTCGATGATGTTTATGTGGTAAGAGGACGTAAGTTGGAGCACATCTAGCTTGAGCAGACCTCTATGCTCCATATAAAGGCCTTCGATAGAAGCCTATCAGTATCTAGTCTCCATTCTCTCTTTATGGAAAACTGGAAGTTGATGATAAACTCTAAACATGGGTGAATCTCAACCTTCCTCGAGGAAAAGGCCTGAGATTGGGAGTGGAGAAGATGGTTACGAAACTGCATCGAAAGTCCAGACTCCCCTTCCGACCAACGCATATCCACAACCATACACAATGTCTTTGAGCCCTGTAGACCCGAGACGCGATATAAGTCTTTCACAATGGGGAGGGATCTTGCGGAGCTGGATGTTGTTGATCAAGAATCTTCGTAGACTCCGCGTCACCCAATTTATCTACCCATACCACGCGAGGCATACCCGCACTTCCCCACGCGCATTCCGGAGGAACCGAGAAGAGAATGATGGTTTCGTGCTACGTGATAGGCAAGTTCAGCGTAGCGATGGCTTCATCGACAAAAGGTTTAGCTTCCTGTTGGTGATATGTGTCCTACGCCAAAGCCCCCTAAGGCATCTTCAAAACGCCAACTGCTGTAGGTCCAGCAAACGAAACTGAAGAAACGATAGCCGGAAGGCAAATCATATGCTCTGAAGGTGAAAACCTAGCATCAACATTCGCCTTAAAAACTCATTGCTCTCGAAGAAATGTCAATTTCATACGTTGATACGACCCAGGAAAGTTGGAAACCCCACGGTAGTAAGGAATAGGCAAGTGGTTGCACGAGTGGGCGCTTCAGGATCCTTTCGTTCGTCATCTTAAGCGGTGTTGGCAAAGGAGCAAGTCACCGTACCCAATTAGCAAAAAGACTATAGCAAAAAACTTCTTGAATTGCAACGAGTCTCGAGGAAACAAGTCCTATTCCCTGGACATTCCCAAACGCCGGCGCTGAATATGCTTTAATCGTCCTCCCCAACTAATCCTTGCAACACCCATCTGACACACCATCTCCAACAGCTACTTATTTTTATCCGTATTCATACAAACGCTTCAATGTCCAATACCGCCAGCGACCCAGTTGTTCCATTCCGGGTTGCCAGGTGGAGGGAAAAGGCCCTGATCTTGCTGTTGCGCCGCGGCAGGTTGACCCTGCTGCCCCTGCTGTTGAAGTCTCTGCGCCTCCTCCTCCCTTCGATGCTGCTGCTGCCTCTGCTGCCTGTAGTAGAGAAGAAGCACCAGGGACAGGGCGAGGAAGACGATGATGAGGCTCTCGGCGATGCCGTCGTCCTCCAGCGGCACGCCGTCTGGGCCCGTACCGCCGATAGTATCATCAAAGATGTCTTCATAGTACGGGTCGTCATAGAACAGTTGGTCGTCTTGAAGGAAGTTGGCAATCCACTCGCTGAGTGACCAGTCCTTCTTTGGTTCTAATGTGTGTGGTTAGCCGATGTGTATCTCGGTGAATGCGCCGTGTTGACTTACTAGGATCGTCTTGGATTGAGTGAATCGGGCCGTGAGTGAACGTGTTCCATGCGCTTCGGAGGCGGAGCTTCAGTAGACTCAAGGTGACAGGAAGATAAGCCTCCTCATTGACCTCGAGCGCTTGGTCGTAGTATCTCTTGGCCAAGTGGAAGTCTTGGGTCAGGCCAATGCCATTTTCGTGCATCCAACCAAGGTTCCAAAGGGCCTGGGCACTCTGCGAGTAGTCCGAGGCGCCCGTGTAACACTGAACGGCCTTGTTGACGTCCGGCTCGGAACCAATTCCGTGGAAGTAGTAGTCGCCCATCTTGACCTGAGAGTCCACGTTCGACTGCCTGGATGACCTCGTCCAGTACATGAGGGCGAGTCTAGGGTTGTTGAGTAGGTTGGGGCGGGTATGCTGCTGAAGACCGAACCACTCGGGAAGCGGCAGCCAGTCGGGTATTTGGAGTCGTGACTGGACAGGATCAAGAATGAAAGCGACGTTGTTCTGCGCGCGCTCATATCCTTGCTCTGCTGCCATGACGTATTCCAAGAAAGCGAGCTCCTCGTCACCGTAGTAGTAGGCTTGGTTCGCCTCGGCCCACGAGGAAACAAGCGGCTCGGCCTTTTCGGCAACGTTTTTGTAGTAGCCCAAAGCCATCGCGCACGTCTTGTCGCGGCCCACGCCGTTGTATACCATCTCAGCAAGGTAGTAGTGAGCCTCGATCTGGCCGTATCTGGCGGCAAGCTCGAAGTAGTTATTTGCAATGCGGACGTCCTCTGCGCCGCCCTGGTCCAGGTAGAGCACGCCCAATTCGATCTGGGATGGCGCGTAGTCCTGTTCCGCTGCCGCCTTAAAGAGGTCGGTGGCCATGGCAACATTCTTTGGCGTCCCGTACCCGTAAAGCATCATGAGACCGAGTCCATGCTGGGATTGGGCATCTCCGTGAGAGATGCCTCGCTCAAACCATCTCTTTGCTTGATCAAAGCTCTGGTCGACACCATCACCACGCAAGTACATGCGGCCAATGAAGCCAGCCGCCTTACTCGCCGTCTTCTCGATACCCTGCTTATGGTTTTCGATGATACGGCCGTCCTTACGCCAGTACCGTTTCGCCACAGTGAAGAAGTACTTGCGAGCAAGGTCCAGATCCCGGTCGAGACCCCTCTGCCCCTCGTAGTAGATCCTTCCAAGGTTGTAAGATGCCTTGGCGTCGCCCTTTTGCGACATGAGATCGAGGTACTCAATCACATCATCAATGGCGGCATTGGCGTCGGAGTTGGGGCTCACTTTGATGGCGTTCATACCGGCACTCGAAGCGCTAGCACCCTCGCCGTAGACACCGCCAAGCTCATCAGCGATACGATACGACTCGACCACCCAAGCCATGCCGCCGGGTGGGCCCGAACGGTACCAGTCCATTGCCTTGTCCGCAACTCTCTTGTAGTACTTGCTTGCAGCCTCGCAATTCTTCGGCGTCGCAATGCCGCTGTGATGGCGGTAGCCAATGGCCATTTCCGCGCGTGTGTCGCCCTGCATCGCTGCAAAAGTGTAGTAGAGGAGCGCCTTTGCCTGATCGGGAGCAACAACATGGCCAATGCCAGTTGCGTAGTAAAGACCAATCATGTACTGTGCCGTGCGATTTCCGTGGACCGTCGCGAGGGTGTGGTAATGATCGAAAGCAACCTTGAGGTCTCTCGGGTAGGTGTAGTTGCCATAGAAGTTCATCTCCGCGAGAAGGTACAGCGCGTCCGTGTTGTTTTTCAAAGCAGACTGTTCCAACAGCTTCACAGCCTCCAACAACGGACCTGTGACCTTGGCCTCCTGTGTCTGGTGGCTACCAGGAACAGGTGCAGCCTTCAGGCTGGGCACGACTTTGAGGGCATATCGGAGCACGGTATAGACGACAGTATAGCGGCGTTCACGTCTGGGGTAGGTTCGGGGTGGTAGCTTGATCAGTTGTTCGATTGCGAGTTCGACTAAGTCCGCTCCTATGGGAAATCAGCTCTGTTAACCGACATTCCCCCCACCATCGCGAATAGTGTACATACCGGGCTGCCTCGGAGGTGGGGTGTGGTGTTCCGGGATAACATCCGTTTGTACTTTCGCATGCTTTCCTTCGCTGCTGTCGTGATTCTTTTCGTAGTCGTTCAAGACCTTTTGCTCGTCGACACAGAATACAGTTGCTGCCTGCAACAGCACTTGATGATATGTCAGCTTACGTTCAGCCGTTTGGATTCAGTGACTTTTAACTTACGGCCTAGCCAGAGCAAAGAACGCCTCATCTCGAACGGTAATTATGTGCCAAATTCGAGCGCAAAGTTCCGCGACATGTTATATCTCACAGATATGCGGTGTCGGGAGAGGGTTTGTTGGTATTCCTAGCAATTACGCAGCTCGGTGCTTTCAGAACAGCTGTCCTGGCTTTAGGTCCACGTAGATGGAATTGGGAGCTCCAAATGAACAGGGATAGTCCACTAAACGAGACTTGATTGGTCGCTAACTTAGCCGGACGCCAGGTACGCAATACCGTTGTAAGCGGGCACTAGTTCGGAATGCTGCGTACTTGTATAACGCGGGGGTTTGCATAAAAACGCTTCTTCATTGACCAGTCCTCCAATGCGCTCACTGGTGATGCTTGCTCAAGTTTCTACGAATTTCATAGTCTGCAAAATTTCGATCTCAGCCGGGTGGAAGTGATAAGGCGGGCGGAAATCTTCAAACTTGTCAAGACCATAGAGGAGAGGTCAAATTTTGAGCTGTCTAAGCTGTGTACCATCGACGCTCAGTAAGTAGTTGCAAATCTCAGTTTTTGGTCAAGGGTCCATGCTCATATAAGCCATGCACCAAAGGTCAAGGTGCCGTGAAAATGTACAACCTGTCTTGCGTTGACGGCCATAGATTTGGCGATGTCTATGTTCTCGACATTCAGCGCCTCAACGCTGGTCTGTCCGCCATCTCATCAGATCAGAAACTCAGTCTCTTCGATCCTGCACGAGTGGGACAGGGTCCGATCAAGTCATACCAGACCAACCATGGCAACTTGACATGCCTTAGGACTTTTGACTGGCAAAACTCTATCGTTTGCACGGCGGGAGAAAATGGGGAAGTCTCAGTCTGGGATATGAGGGAAGCGTCAAAGCCGCAGGTCGCTCATTTTGCGGGTATGTTTTCTCGCTCTGAAATATCTAACGAATCTCACTAACACAACGTTCAGCTGCTCAGTCGCCTATTTTGTCTATGGCTTGCGACCCTAGGAGCAACACAATAGCACTAGGCACAGAGTTCCAGAACCACACCGCATCCGTGCTACTCTGGTAAGCCTTCCTTGGATCACGACTACCCACCCCCGCCCGATTACACAGAACTCCTGACACATCCATAGGGATATCAGAGCCGGCCCGAAGCAGAGGCTCCAGTACGACGAAGTCCACAGTGACGACGTCACAGAACTCCGCTTCCACCCTTCAGAATCTCATATCCTCCTCTCGGGATCGACCGATGGCCTCGTCAACGTCTATGACACACGAATTTCGGACGAAGATGAGGTCGTCGTCCAGACGTTGAACCAGGGCTCTGTCCACCACGCCTCCTTCCTCAGCAATACCGAGGTCTATGTGCTGACTCACGACGAGAAGCTGGCCGTGTACAGCGTCGCGGAGGATTGCGGCTCTGGCGCGGCTCTGGTAGACTTTGGCGACGCAAGAGAGACACTGGGCTGCCAGTACATTGCCAACATGACGACAAAGGTTGACGGAAGCGGTGCTATCGTCGGTGCGGGCTCACAAGAGTAAGTCTTGTTGACGAATTGTTCCCAATGTTTGGCAGCGTAACTAATAAGTGAACCAGCCGCCAAGTCTTTGAGTTGGTACACCTGTCCCGTACCGCCGAAGGCAGCTGGGGCTTCGACAGGGCGAACAGCGTCGGTCTGCCGGGGGGGCACGGCGAGGAGATTGTACGCTCGTTCTGCTTCTACGATGACGAACAGGTTGTCTTCACTGCTGGAGAAGACGGTAATATCAAGGCTTGGAGGCCCACGTAGGTCAGGGATCGAAGAAAGCAAAAGTAAAGAAAAATAGAACTTGAGAACGAAAGTGAATTGTTTTACGGCTATGCTGCTCATTGCGTGTGGGTATCATGGTTTCCCCCCTTTTCGTGTTGCCAAAGAAATTCATCCCCCGAGTTAGCCATACTTGTCGTGCTTTCCCTTGACCTTCAACATTAATAACTGCTCGTGGTAATCGCCCTCCCTTCTCGCCCTCTTCAACTTCCTGACTTCGTCGTCCTCGAGTCTACGCCCTACCGCTTGTTCAAGCTCCTTGCGACTAATCTTTTCCTTCGCCTTTTCTTCCTTGTTCGCTTTGAGCCGCGGCTTGAATCTCGCTTGCATCCTGATACGCCATGTGGTGTTGAATGTGATGGACTCTTCGTCGCCTCTGACGTCCGAGGTGGTAACATTGGGTTTCGGCGGCTTGACAGAGAGGAAGGTATCGCGTAATGTCTGGACTTGGAATGTGCCAGGGGTATCCGCCGTTGCGATGATGTTGAAAGACTCTAATGGTGAGACGGCCGCCGATGTCGCTGACAGCACGCCGTTCTTGTCGCATCCCAGATATCTGTGGCTCGTTAATACATGGCTCCCGTCGACAGCCTTCTGCAAATTATTCTTACTGTCCGTGATGGCCCTTGAACCTGAACTGCTCCGTCCCTGTGATCCTGTTCGCAACCCACACCTGCCGCACGTCGTGCGGCTCAGCCGTAGACGGGTTGCCATCGACGATGTTCTCGATCCCAAGCGTAAATATCTTGCCTACGGCATCGCACGCCAAAGCAGTAGGGGGCTCCGTCGGCAAGACGAATATGACGGGTCCGACAACATCCGTCACGGCATCGGCAGACACCCAGCTATCGTCGTCATCGTCCGCGTTCGCCGTCGATGCGGAAGCTCCGCCGGTGCGGGCAACCTCCCCGCCCTGCGCGTCGCGGTCCTGGGCCTCGGCTTCCGCGCGCTTTCTTTTCTTGGGCTTCTTGTCGCCCTTGAAAGACAGGGGCTTGACCATCGCGTTGTATCGCTCGTGTTTCGTGTCCCCCCCTCCGCTCGCAGGACTCGATGAGGAAGGTGAAAGTTGCGTTATCTTGATGCGGTTTTCGGCGATAACCGGTAAACTTTCTCTTTGGCCAATCTTGGGTGCGTGCTTGACCTTTCGAAGTCTGGGAATGGTGATGAGTAGAGTTCGAGGAACGTTTGAACGTTGTGATTACATAAGGGGCTATCTGTGCCCCTCCCCCACCTTTTAGGTACCAACCCGGCAGGTGGTATCGCGGAAGCTTGTCGATGAGCCTACGATCTGGCTGGATTCCTTCTTGTTTCATTCGTTGCTACCTTTAAACTTCTACAACTCAGATAAACACCATGGTTCAGATCGCACAACCGGTGGTTGTGTCTCTCAACGACCTTAAGGAGGGTGAGTACCGTCGAGCAGGATCGTAGGATGGAACGGACAACAGCTTACATGTGAAATTCACATCATAGGCAACATCCCCTTCGAGACTCTTAAAGAGGCCTTTGGGCCCGAATCTCTAGGTATCCTGGTGGTCAAGGATGTGCCGCCAGAGTTCACTCATTTGAGGCACCAGACCTTATCTTACGCATCTTACTTGGGCAATCTCCCTGAGGAAGAGCTGGGTACGATGCAATTTGCTACCCGTCTGCCCACCACTGCTTACACATGAGCAGTCAAGCTTGAGAATGAAAAGGCCAAATACCTGACGGGCTGGTCCCTGGGTAAAGAAACACTCAAGAATGGCCAAGTTGACACATTCAAGGGTTCATACTATGCCAACTGCGCATTCTACGTTGATGCAACTCTCGACTGTGCTAAGCCGACGGCCGAGTTTAACCAGAATAACTTTCCCGAGTACCTCTCGCCAAATATCTGGCCTTCACAAGACGTCCTTCCGGGGTTCAAGCCGAGTGTGGAGAGTCTTTGCCGAGTCATCATTGATGCGGCCGTTTTGGTAGCCCGAGCATGCGACAGATTTGCCGAGTCTGAGATCCCAGGATATACCAAAGGGTACCTTGAACACGTTGTCAGTACATCGAACACGACCAAAGCGCGCCTTCTACACTACTATCCGCAGACGAAAGAGGCCCTTTCCAAGATTGGTGCAGCCGACGATGACTGGTGAGCCACTGGATTGTGACCGCCTTCAGAAATCCACTAATAGATGCAAGGTGCTCGAGACATAAAGATCATGGGTTAGTCGGCCCCTTCTAGCAACGATGCTGCTGGTACTAACACACTCGGTAGGTGTCTGACTGGTCTGACATCTGCCATGTTCATCGACGAGAAGGAGACTTCTACCGTGGTACCTGAAGCCACGAACAATACGATAGCAAGCCTACCACCTTTGTCGGAGCTGGCCGCGTCTCCTGATCCGTCAGCAGGGCTGTATATCGAATCGCGGGGCGGAGAGACGGTACAGGTCAAGATACCGCGGGACTGCATCGCTTTTCAGACCGGCGAAGCTCTAGAGCGCATCACGGGCGGCAAGTTCAAGGCAGTACCGCACTTCGTAAGGGGAGTCAGGGCAGCTGTGAGCGACGGACGCGTCGCGCGTAACACGTTGGCCGTCTTCACTCAGCCAAACCTTGGCGAGGAGGTGGACAATGAGCAACACATAACGTTTGGCGAGTTTGCGCGGGGCATCGTGGCCAAGAACACTGTAACATAAGAGTGTCATCGTTCCGCTGATGAGAGTGTAAACGAAGCATGTCAAAGGTCACAGTCGGCTTGTTGATTGCTCCGGTGTATGTGACTAGTAGTCGAGTGTAGCCGACCCCGATGTTGGATTTGTCAAGATTGTTCGGGGCCACACGGTGGGGCACCCGACAGCAGGGGCCCGGCCGGTAGTCCCGGAGCTCGGTACTTGGTGTTGAAGGGGCCAGTCTATACTCCGAAAGGCAGCTCGGAGCCGTAGCTGTATATTCCAAATCATAGACCTAGAGGACTAGCCAAGCCGAGGCCCAAGAGGCGCAGAACGATAGCGCATGAATTCTCTAGAATTGCGTGATGCTAATGGTGAGTTTCGAGGTTGCTCAGTCAGCAAAGCTTTCGTGCGCTTGCATCATGATTGCAAAACCTCACCTATTGGCAGCTACTCTGTGGACAAGGAGCTCTATCAACACCCGGAAGCTACCCCACCCCCGCCGCCTGCTCCAATGGGGGCCTTTCGTCACCACTTCTATCAAGTAAGGTATCCGTATTGCTGCTGCTGGGCCACCTGTAGGTATCTCATATCCCCCAGACAAAGCTCCATGAAGCTCCCCTCGAACGTGTTATTAAACCTGACTCGACGCCCAATCTTTGCGTCGTCTCTATTCCCACTCATCCCATCCTCAAGTTCGACGATACCACTCGCCAGCAGAAACACTGCCCGCCTCCAACGCAACATAAGCACCACCGCCACATCCCGTTTCCGCTACACATCACCAGCAATGGCCGTACCGCCCAAATTCGCAGCTCACAAGCTGACCTTCGGAGCGGAACCCAAGCCCTCGGCCGACGGCGTCCCCGCGCAGCCGCACACCATCGAGCTCTACCTCGACTACGTCTGCCCCTACTCCGCGAAGCAATTCAACACATTTTACAACGCCGTCGTGCCCGCCATCCGCGCGAACCCGGCCTGGGCCGCCAACCTCGAGGTCATCTTCCGTCAGCAGGTCCAGCCCTGGCACCCCTCGAGCACCCTGGTTCACGAGTCCGCCGTGGCCGTCGTCAAGACCGCGCCCGCCAAGTTCTGGGCGTACAGCGACGCCCTCTTCAAGGCGCAAAAGGACTACTTTGACGCCAACGTCGTCAACGAGCCGCGCAACGAGACGTACAGGCGCCTCGCCAAGCTCGCGGGCTCCGTGGGCGTCGACGAGAAGGCGGTGCTGGACCTGCTCGTCGTCTCGGACAAGCCCGACGCCGAGGGCGCGCTCAACGTCGGCAACGGCGTGACCAACGACTTCAAGGTGCTCATCAAGCTCGCGCGGTTGACGGGCGTGCACGTCAGCCCCACGGTGCTGTTTGACGGGTACCCGAACAACGAGATCAGCTCCGGCTGGACGCTTGACCAGTGGAAGGAGTGGCTTCAGAAGAACATTGCCTGACTTGAAGGGCGGCGGGGTTCGGCGCGGGATCACCGGCTTTGAGACGATGAGGTGCTCTATTAGCTAGTAGGCAATCTGGCAGGGTTTCCAGGTTGGATTCTCATAGTAGCGGTCTTCAGTCACGTCAATCATTTAACCTAGCATAGCCAACTTGTGTCCGAGAGTCAATCAAATAAGAAGAGACAGTAATTCATGCTAGTTGCAGCTCGTGACGATTAATTGTTATCCTCATGAATTTCGGCGATGTTGAAATGGCGTACACCATCCGGGCGCTGGATACTGATTAAGTCAAGTCGCGTCGCGTGGGGAAAAATTAATTAGTACCAGGGAAGGTAGATGCGTGCAGTGACCTCATCCGACCTCAGCATTCTCATCTCACCATCAACCTCTCACTCTCCCTAATCCACCCATTTCACTCACTCACTCTTCCCCTTTTCCCTTTGGACAACCTCACAATGTCCCTACTGCGGCTCGCCTTCATACGGCAACCCCCACAAACGATCCGAATCCTCCCCACGATACGCCAATGCGCTCTCCGTCCTACCCTCCGGAAATCTCTTCTTCAGAACCAGCAATGTAGCCTGAGAAGGCCCTTTGCCTCCGCACCACCGCCGCCGACCACGGCCCCCCGGGCCGTCACCACACCACCGAAGCCGAACTCAGCCGGCGCCGGAGGCTCTGCCGGTCCCCGGGCCGGGAACCCACGTGAGTAGTAGACCCATCCATACTTCATCTCACTGTCTCTGCACACAAAGCTAACGGTGACCTACTAGAACTGCCTGAGCGACTGCTCATCTACCACGCCGGCACCGGTCGGACGGCCTTTCTGGCCTTTTGGAAAATCACCACCGTCTTCTCATGCGTCTTCTTCTGCTTCGTAGCTGCTCCCAGCTACGTCCGCGCCGAAGATAAGACTCTTACTGAGGCAGCGGGATGTAAGCTTCTCACCCCACATCTCACTCACACGTTGACTGCATTCCCATCCCATCATTCCCTATTCTCCTCCTCATAACCTCCCCCTTTGCTACACAAACCTCGCAGCATCTGATGTTTCCAAACCATTCTCACATCCCATAAACCATCGCACATATACTAACACCCGATCCAGTGGCCGCCTGCGGCATCATCCCCTTCCTCTTCGTAGCCTACACCTCGGCCCCCTTCGTAACCTACATCTACCTCCGCCTGCCCCCCTACGCGCGCCAATCCCGCGCCCTCCTAGAACGCTACGTCCGCACCCTCCCGCCCACAGCTCAACTCGAGATCGGCACAATGGGCCTCGCCACCCGTCCCCGTCTCACGGCCGTCACGGCCGCCGAGCTCCGTCCCGTGGCCGCGGACAGCGGGCCCTTGGCCACGCGCCTCGGCATCGTCACGCACACCAAGGACGTCTCGGCGCTGATGGCGAAGCGGAGGTGGTATCACTACCGCCCCGTCGGCCAGTTTGGCATCAACAGCGTTGAGGCGGGCGGGAAGACGAGCAGTAGCGGTAGCAGTGGCGGCGGCAAGGGCGCTAGTCATGGCGTTAACGATGGGTGGGTGTGGAATATCGTGCGCGAGTCGCTGGGTAAGCGCAAGTGAGTAGGGCGAAAGGGTTGGCCAGTTTGCCAAGCGCGTCCCACCATGTATTCGAGACTCTCGAGTCAAGGAGAGAGAAGTGCCGGTCAGGGTGACGGTAGCATTGTACGATTCAAGCAAGACCGAGAGGGGGCGAAAGTGTACATACGCACGTTCTGCTAGTCGTGTACGGCGCTCTCTGCGTTGTCAGATTATCTATCTAGAAGAGGGTGTGCCCCTGAGGGTGAGGGCGTGGATGATCGGAAGCCCACGCGGGGATTCCGGTATTCATCACGAGTGGCAAAGCATCACGTTCGATATTGATGCCGGGAGACAAACGACATCGATTTGTATACTATCAAACAACAACAAAAAAAGTTACAGGTGATGCCTCACCCCTTCCCTGGCGCAGACGCACTGCCACTAGTCATTCGATTTCGCCACAGTCTAAAAGCTGCTGATCGAGTCAAGGACTTGAGTCGCAATAGGAGAGCTATTTTGGACCCCGTCTAACGGTAACGGTAGGATCGAATCATCGTAGCATGTTCCATAACGTGGTGGAGGGTATTCGTACTTTGCCCATATAAGAGGCGAAAAAAAAGAGAGTGCTCTACCTAGGTTGAACCATGTTCCGGGAGGCAATCGCCATCGCACGTTTTTCGACGCTGACAACCTCGGGATGTCCAAGTTGCCTTCCTCGTCCAATACTCTTCCCACTTGCCCCTCCAACTGGGTCCCAAACCAGGGGCTTTTCTCGTGTAGAGTGTGAAGATGTTGGCTTGTTGGTTGTCAGGAAACATGAGGGGAGAGATGTAACCATAACCATGCTGTGAAAGGGTCGAGAACCAACACACTCACAAACCGAGGCTAATAACGAAAACGAGCTGACTCTGCGTCTGCCGGGGCCACAGTTCAGCCCCAAAGCCCCATTTCCAGCCGTCACCACCACCACCACTGGGAAACTCACGGCGAGGAATCCGTTGGCACACCACCATCTCTACAATACCCTGGTTGGCTTTGCTCCTCTCTGCCCTCCCTCTTCGGCCACCTCCGTCCGTCCGTCCGTCCGTCGCCGTCGCCGTCATCCGCCGCCGGAAGACGGCCTCCGCACCTGTTACCTCACCACACCCATTTGTATCCGGGCGCCGAGTAAAAACCCGAAATACACCTACCACTAAACTCCGAAGTCATTCCGTCGTACACAATCTCACACACCCTCCCCCTCTTCTATGTTGGTGCCAGTGGGATGGAAGGTAGGTAGCCAGTACATACGTCCACCGCCCCCCCCGGAACCAACAAGTCACTCATATCTCTGGAATTGCCGATGCCTCATTATCGCTGCCTCACCGTGTACTTCTACCTGTGAGAAATAGCAACATTTTCTTCACCCTTAAAACTCGGCATCCGGCAGTCGCATCTGGTACCATCCTGCAAGAATATGTTGAAATTCAAAAGGCGAATGAGGAAGAGCGCATAATGATCAACCCTATCATCCCGATGCGTGTACGTGTGCACTCGGAGACCGGGTTGTCGACGCCCGGGTAAGTCACGAATCTACCCGTAAAGCAAATCGGGACTCAATAGTAGAGATGGAATTGTGTCTTGGAACTCTACCGTACCTTTGAGTGACTTGCCATTATGCTTGTGTCATGTTTTGCAAAGCCCACGAGGGAGGGAAGGAGGGGGGGGGGGGCAACATCGCTTTCAATGTTTAAAGTCCGAAACAACCAGACGCACGTCAAAAGGATGCAAGCACGCATTCCAAAACGACATCACCAAGCTTGACCGTCGGCCACGCCGAGAAACCTCAATCCCAACAAGAAAGTGTGAGCGTACGCAGTCAAAAAAACATGAGACGGAAAAGACAAAAGCGGGGAAACCCGTGGACTATGAGGATCCTCCCCAGTCTACCTACCTTACATTGAAAAAAAAAGATGCGATGAAAAATGGAAGCAAGATTCGAGTCTATTGGACCTGCATGTCCCAGATCACAGATGGTATGCATGTGAGATGGACATCCACACATCCTTGGAATGTCCTTCCCCCCCCCTCTCTTCATCCAGCCCTTTGCAGTTTGCACACCCCTCTTCTCAGAGGGATTCAAACCCCCCCCTCACCGCTGCACGCCACGCATATTCTTGCGTCGACTTTCCCGCGCATTTCACACCTTACATCGGCGATACAGGAACCCGGTCTGGCCGCCGTTGCGCGGCCAAAAGAAAGAGACTACCTACCTTACGGGGTTTGGTACACTAGGTACTCGTAGGCGACCATCGTTGCAAATGTTAGAAAAAAACGTGCCAATGCCAAACTCTAATAGCGACCTTATCTCGAAACAACGTCACCCGTGGCCTAGGCAAAGGGGTTGCAACGATACTCGCTCCCACACTCCGTACTGCATACTTGATGTAGGTAGGTAGGTATGGCAAGGGCAAATCTCCAACATCTCCAAACATCTCTTTTGCTTCCCGCCGCTTGCTCCCATCCATCCCATCCATCACTTTGGGAGAGTTCATCGAACCCGACCCGAACGAACCCGGTCCTGGCTGCGAAACACGAGGCACAGATAACTACATGCCCCTACTCAGTACCTACCCACCCATGCAATGCCAGCGCGGTGCAGACCGCAGTGAACCCGACTCCTTGGCCGATCTGGTACACGTTACCCACGCGATGTCTCTCTCCAAGGACTCTTCAAATTCTTGAACTCACCGTCCTCGTTCCCTGTCCCCCGTCATTCGAACGAGTGACGAACATGGACTGTTCTCGACCCTGCCCATCACTTTTTGCGTGTTAAATTTAACCTTTCCCTCCTGCGTGTACTCCGTAAAGGAACACACCCCCCGGACCCGTCGCCAAAACCCTCCACTGCCTTACCTAACCGGCAATCGCTCATTGCTACCAACGGCAAACCACAGCGGCAATCGTCGTCATTGCGAAGCGAAGCAGAAGCAGAAGGGGAAGACGACGAGAAGAAGCTAAATTATGCGGTTTTCGTCAGCGGTGATGTAAGCTTGCGACTCAACCGTCTCACCACATTGAAGTTTCCAAGCGATGCTCTTCCTCCCTTGGGCCCTGGGTCCTGGGTCCTGGCTCAAGGGTCCCCCCCATTGAATGTCACTGCTCCCCACACTTTCTCTCGCCGATCAAAAGAGGCTCGAAACTATCCGTACATACCCAGAGCTTTCCGAATATACGCCCCGACATCCGACTCCCGGCTTCCGCGCAGTTGCGTCGTTCTTCTTCTTCTCCATCTCCAGGCTCCGTCTGCGGTGCGGCGTGCTCTACGGGGTACGGGGGAGGCCAACGGAATAGCCGAGGACGACGTTGTAAATACTTTTTTTCGTGTGGGATAAAACGGGCAGTCGTAAGTACTAGGTAGCTGTTGCTGTATAAGCGAGGTCAGACGTATCACGTAAGTAGGTATACCTACCACCCCGCTGTATAGCCTCAAAAAAAAAGACAAAAGAAACGCTTTTACCGACCGCCGAGATAATATACACTCCGTACCTTAGCTTCACTTTCTAAGTACCTTGTTATTAAAGAAAGTTAATTCTTTTTAAGTTATAAATATAAGAATATAGTTTTAATAAAATAGTATAGTACTTACTTAGTACTTAAATTAAAATACTTTTTTAAGCTTATTATAAGAGAAAAATAATTATATTATTAACTACTTATTATTAAAGTTCGTAACGCTATAGTTTTAACTATAATAGTTTTATTTATAATAAATAAAAAGTTTAATTATAAGTCCTTTAAAAGCCTCTTTTTAAAAGCTATAAGAGCTTTTAAGTATACTAAGTTAAAATATTTATTAAAATATTAATAACTAAATTAACTTTATAATAATAGTTTTAATAAAGAAATTAAAAAATAAATTAAAAAATAATATTAAAATCTTTATTAATATTAAGTATAATTTATAAAAGGTAATAACGTAGCTATAGAGTATTAATAATATATCTTATATTAAAAAGATTATTATTAATATTAATAAAATAAATAAGGCCGTGTTAATATAATACTTTAGCTTTTTTTTATAACTCGAGGACTATAGCCTTAAATAGTATTAGAAATTTATTAAAAAGCTCTCTTAAATACTTTAGTATATTTATTATTATTTTTATAATAATAAAACTCTTAGTATTTATATATAAGTATAAGTTATTTATTTTTAAATAATAATACTAATTTATTAATAAGCTATTAAAACTACGATTTTAATAATTTTTTAATAAGGGAGAGGGTAGAATAAAAAAAAGGATAGGTAACTTATAAAAAAGGTTAAGGTTAAATAGTACGGAATTCGAGGGTAGGGTAGCGTCTATATATACTGCGGTAATCCTCTAGTAATGCAAAACGATGGAGTTAAACAGTGTGGCTTCACTTTTAAACCTGTCGGTTAGCCCGTTTGCCCCGTCAAGGCTCAACGTTGTTTCCAGTGGAGGTTCCCTTTTTACTCGCCCTCTGATAGCTTAGAGGTGTGTGTGGTGTGTGGGTGTATGAGTGTTGCGTACCCGCGTATAGGGGAAAAAGGTCTTGTTTTTTTTTTGTAAAGGAAGTTGAGACCATTTGCTTATGCAAAGTGTATTTGGGGGTGGGCGTCTTGCTCAACGTGCGGCTGAATGAACCCTGTGAACATGTCAACATCAGATGCCGTGGCCAATCAACTCGTTCAATCGCGAGACTTTGCGACCGCTTTGGGGGCTTCCCGGTAGGAGCTCTCTCGCCTCGGGCACCCCACGTACATACACCACACCCACATCTACCCATTGTCGGCTTCCCGTCTCACCCCCCTTCCAAACGTCTTACTCCTTGCTTGCCAAGCAAACGATACAGCGAATGCCCGTTTCTGCGGGTTGCCTCTCGTTTTGCTGGTGTCTTATTCACTTCACATTGCTAGATGGTTTGAATTTGTATGCGCGCGCAAGGTGGTATCATGTCCGTATTGATCGGTCCAAGTCAATGGAAGCAACGAAACTCTTCTCTCTCTCCTCGTACAGTTACTTTTTTGGGCCTTTCCATGATTGTGATAGTAAGCAAACAGGACTCCTCGTTCGCGTTGCCAGGGTGAGCGCCGTCCGTACGCCCAACCGAATTGGGCCGCGTCGTTGGCTCCGTCATGAGGCAACATGCCAAATATAGTAATACAGTCCAGAAATACAGACCAGGACACCGCTTCGCCAACCTTCCCTCTCTCTCTTTCTTCGCACCGTCCCGAAAAAACAAAAGCCTCTTGGGAGCCCCATTCCCGGCTGGGGGCCATGCTTCCGAAGGGGCATGAGTGACGCCGGCGCCCGACATGGATCTTCCGTTGTGTTCCCCTCCTCCTCATTTTCATCGTAATCGTGTACATGTATTTCGTCGCGAGAATAAACCGTGTATAAGGCGAACGAGGACCGTAGAAAGCGAAAATCCAAGATATGTACGTGAATCGCTGTAGCTGAAAGGGGCACCTATTCGTCGGTCCAGAGGCGGTTCGCGGAGGCACCCCATAGGCTGGCAAGTGTTGTTATGAACCGGTAAATCGTCGTCGCTATACCAAAGGTGTAAAACATCCCGTAGATGTTGCCGACAAGAAGGTTAGGTAGCTTTGCAAAAATCAATTTGGAAATGGCTCATCGCCGTTTCATCATAGGACCACTGCCATCGTAATCCCAGGCCCGCTTGAGACCGCCTTCGTAGACACTGGCCACGGACTCCTGCCACATCGCCGGCGAGACAAAAGTCTGCACGGGGGCTGCAGAGTATTGTTGCGCCAACTGTTGAGAGGCCACTGGGAGAGTAGCATTGACAGCCTGAATGTCTTGGAGAGACGGGGCTTCGGGTGCACCTGAAGACGGAGAAACACTAAGCGAATTGGACTGGGGAGGCAGCGTCGAAGGCTGTGGTTGGACCTGAGGCGTACCGAAAGACGTGTTCCATTGTCTGTAGACATGTATTAGCGGGTGCCTTCGTTGAAGTATGTGATTGTCGACAACAACTTACTCAAAAATACGTGCGGGATTCCACGCTGGCGCATCCGACAACGACATGGTTTGCTGCATTCCCGGCGCTTGGGAACCTTGACTTGCCATCATGACGAGTGACTGTATAGCAGGCGAGTCACTCTTGGTATCCACAGGTCCGGCAGAAATAGGAGGTGTGATGGGGTGGCTGGTATAACTGACTTGGGAGTGTTGAAGGTTCTGCGTGTCCAACTGGTGGTCCAAGGAAGCAGTGCGTGCCATACCCGGCCTGTAACCCCTTGGAGGACTGGAATGGTTGGATGATTGGGGGCTGCCGTAAGGGAAGCTGGGCTTGAGGACAAAGGGTTTCCTGACGTCAGCAGAAAACGCTTCGCGCACCGCGTCGACTTGCTTCTGCAGGTCGGCCATCGGCCAAACCGACATGACCCTTTCGAGCACTCGCATGTGTCTCGTGAAGAACTCTCTCGCATCAGTGTTCAGATCAGGGTCTGGGGAGACGACGGCCACCTGTGTACCATAAAAGTTAGAGAGCCAGTAACGGGGAATCGCAGATCATAACCCACCAGATGGAGTACAATGCAACACAGTCCACAGTAGACGGTGAAGCTGAACCCACGAAGCATACACTGCAGTCCAGGGAATCCGAATGAATTCAAAACAGCCTCCTGGAGCCGGCATAGAGCCTTGGCAGAAGAGTAGCAGATCATCATGTGCTGTTTCCATTGTCCATCTTGCGCGTTCGGGTCCAGGAAATTCAGCTGCGGTCGATGAAGCAGAATCAGGGTTAGATAGTAGTAGGAATGCAGGTTGCCGATGTAAGGTGACGAAAGCCATGGCGGCGAGCCGTCGGGCGGGAAAGTAACCGACAAATCCGCTGGAAGATCATTCAACCAGGCATTCAAGGCCGGATTGAGCTGCACAAACTCGGGATCGACGCCCCAATCCTTCGTCTTCTTCTTCTTGAGATGGCCATAGGCCGTGTTCATGCGGCTGACGTTGCGGACAATTCGTGCGAAATAGGTGAAGTTACGGGTGGTGTGGTACTCAGAGTCGTCGCCTCCAGGGATTGGGCGTGGGACGCTGAAATCGATGGAATCCAGCTCCACGGCGAGATCAGTACGGCCTAAGGGAATTAGCAAATTCTCACAAAACGTCGAGAAAGACCAAGTGCCAACCTTGGGGAGAACCAATCATGGTTTCGCACACAAAGATAGACTGCCAGATTCGACTCTTCATCTGACAATCCAAGGGAGAAGAGCCACACGGCCTTCCCGCTTGATGATCCGTGTAGTGCTCGTCCAGACCAAGATCCTTACCCATCTGAACGCACTGGACAATCGTCATCCACGAGCGGTAGTAGTAACCACGCTTTGGTGCTGCCTCCCGAGCTTTCAGGATGAGGAGCAGGGCTTGCAAAGTGCTCAGCCTCGGTACGTCCATGAAAGAGTCGGCGTGCTCTGTCATGGTTGTTAGCCTTTGCCTATCCAGCCGACGAGTGTTTTCATACTTATTGCCAAAGCGAGCCACTGCTGCCCTTGGGCAGGGTCGTCGGCTAGTCTTCCACCCATGGCGAAAAGAGCTTCAAGAATGAGAGGCGATACGGATTCTCTGTTCGTATTCCACTGGTGATAGAAGACACTTTTGCTGAGAACAGGCACGTAGGGATGCACGTGGCTGAAGAAGAGATCAAAGTAGTGCATGACCGTCTCGTCATCCGGCATTAGTTCAGGTGGGATGCGAATCTTGAGGCCTGGTCCGGTGATAATTGGCGGAAGAGGAGTCTTGTACTCCTCATCCTCAACGGCGGGCTCCTCATCATGCAGAA